ATGTCACAATATTCCACCATATCTTTTGCATTCGGTGGCTCTAAGAACGATCTCGTAATCTCTCATCCTATCTCATGTAGCGTAACCTCTGCGTTAGTGGACACACCATCTTTATTCTCCAACATTTATCCAGACTGTAAACCTACTACAACTAAATGTAAAAGAAAATGATTCCGGAGGGTGTAATTGAGGAAAGTACATCCGCTTGGAGGGCTCAAGTCTTAATAGTAACGAATGAGCGTCAAAGAAAGAGACTTGTAGTCGATTACAGTAGGACAATAGATTTACCAGATTAGATGCTTATTCATTACCAAGAATAGATGATCTGGCTCAAGAAATAGCAAAATATAAAATTTACAACTCATTGGATCTGAAGAGTGCATTATCACCTGATACCAATAAAAAAGAAGATAAGCCCTACACGGCATTCGAAGCTAATAGTAAACTTTACCAATTTTGTAGAATTCCTTTTGGAGTGACTAACGGTGTCGCGTGTTTCTAAAGGATAATGGATAAGATTATTAAGAAAAATATTTTGATGGGTGTGTATGCCTATGTAGATAACATTGTCGTAGTTGGGGAAAATCAGCAAGAACAAGACGAGAACTTGGAAAAATTTAAAAAGATTGCTACACGGTATAAGCTCACCTTTAACGAAGATAAATGTTTTCTCTAAAACATTCATTGATTTTCTCGGCTACAGCATATCACATGGCCTACTTAGACCTGATGCAGAACGTCTACGATCATTAAGAGAACTACCTGTTCCTCAGAACAAAACCTCACTGCGCCGAGTGCTTGGATTATTCTCTTACTACTCTCAGTGGATACCCAAGTTCTCTGACAAAATTAAACCCTTGATTCATTCCCTCTTGATTCAGAATCGGTAAAAACATTTGAAAACTTTAAGGAAGAAATTGAAAAGGCTTTACTATACTCGATCGATGAAAGCATTCCTCTCGTAGGAGTAATAGATGCCTCTGATACTGCTATTGCGGCCACTTTCACAGTGGCCGCAATAGCAAGGAAACCGCCCAGTGGCATTCTTTTCACGTACACTAACGACTACAGAACAAAAACATTCTTCTGTAGAAAAGAAGGCTTGTGCAATAGCTGAATCTGTCAAAAAGTGGTCACATTATTTACCAGCGCGGCGTTTTGTGATAGTCACAGATCAACAAGCTGTTAATTTCATGTTTGATGCAAGAAGGCATGGAAAGATCAAGATCAAACGATGAAGAATGGAATTGGGGTGTTATGAGTATGACATCATGCACCGACCAGGAAAAAACAATATCCCAGCTGATACACTCTCACGCATCCAGTGCAATGCACTTACCAAAATAGAAAAACTATAAGAAATACACGAAAATCTTTGTCATCCCAGTATAACCAGGTTAGCTCATTTTGTTAAAGTAAGAAATTTTCCATACTCTATTGAAGATGTTAAAAGAGTGTGTACAGTATGTGCAGTGTGTGCTAGATGGAAACCAAGTTTCTATTCACCAGAAGCAGGACGCCTGGTCAAAGCAACACAACCGATGAAACGACTTAGCATTGACTTTAAGGGACCCCTTCTTTCAACTTCGAAAAACCGCTACTTACGGTGATAGATGAGTACTCGCATTTCCCTTTTGCCTTTGCATGTAAAAGCACAAATACAGACTCAATAGTACAGAAAGTAAATCAGATATTTACAGTATTTGGCATTTAGATAGAGGAACATCATTCGTATCAAGGGAATATCTCACCAATCTTGGAATCGCTACTAGCCGGACATCGCCTTATCACCCTCAAGGAAATGGTCAGTGTGAACGGTATAATGGAATTATCTGGAAGCACATCTCATTGGCCTTAGCCTCAAGAGATCTTAAAGAATCGCAATGGGAAACAGTATTGCTTGAAGTATTACACTCCATAAGAGTGTAATACTTCAAGCTTTGTACTGTTACTAATGCCACACCGCATGAAAGACTCTTTTCATACCAACGGCTAACTCCCAGCAGCCATTCCTTACCTACTTGGTTATCTACGTCAGTACCTGTTCTTTTGCGTCGCCATGTCCGAGCCAATAAGTATGAACCATTGGATGACGAAGTACTATTACTGGAAACAAACCCACAATATGCTCACATAAGATTCACCAATGGACGCGAATCTACAGCATCTGTAAGTGACTTAGCACCAGCAAGGAATTCATTACAAAGTGGGGAAGGCCGTAGATGATAACCTCCAGAAAGATATAGATGATTCTACAGCCACTAATGAAAACAATTCAGACGAAAAACTTGAAGTAGATAGTAACGATTTACAAACTATCATTAACCAAGATATTACAACTTATTCTCCAAGTGATCTAAAGACTACTCCCCCTCAATATAATGTCAAGAAATCCTGAGATACTCAGACGATCCCAACGGGAAATTCGTAGGCTAAAGAGATATCAAGAACTGTAAATAAAAAAATAAAAAGGAGGGGAGAATGTACTATACTTATCTGCCCTTGGCGTTTTTGTTATGGTAATTACCTCCCTTACTAGCATTATTCAGTTGACGAATTGCTTAGTCAGGGAATGTTTCGTTAAATAAATCCTTGTTAAGGAATAAGAGTCTTGCCAGCTCATTTCACAGATATAAAGAAACTTGCTGAGCAGCATCAACCACAGGGATCTCATTGAATAAATATGCCTTTCTTTTTTTTTTCTAATCACACACTTAAATTGGTTTATTAAAATTTTTAACCAGTGTGCATAAATGCTCATCATGGGCTTGACCATGGAAGAAACATCGCTATATTGTAATACAAGATATTGGTCAATAAAAATTATTATTACTATAGTTATTATTGTAGAATAATTTATTTGAATTAAATTAGTTTTCATTTAAAAATAAAGCTTAATTGTATAATATTTCTTTAATTAAAACCTTAAATTTTTATTAGTGAAAAATAGAACATTGCTGTCAAATAACTATTAAGGGGTCTACAAAGAAAAAAAATTAGGGAAAAGTGGTCCATGAGTAAAGATAGAGGTTGAGAAACACTGGGTTAGAGGTTAAACGTAGTTTTGTGATTTCTGTCTGTTGATACTAGCGTCCTTATTGCTGTGGCCTTCTTAGGGCCAGAAATAAAGACACAAAGAGAGGAACTGGGTTAAGCAAATATATTAACAGAAATAGTAATACAAACATACAAACGAGAATGTTACAGCAAGAATATTCGGCCCGACTCTCAGAGCTGACTGCTGGAAACTTCCCGATATTTATTTCTGTTATATACAGAAAATGTGGCACAAGGACAAAATGGAAGATGGGGGGAAAAAGACGTTCTTCATCTGTCTTAACTTTAAACTTAGCTAGCCACAAACATCCAAGCATACAAACAATAGTCCTAACACCAAAACAACGCATTCTTACTTACCTTTCTTACTACATCAACCATAATACCTAATTGTCTCTATAAAAATCCTAAATAGTCCCCATATGTACAATAAAATTGATATTTTTATTTATTTTATAAAATATATTGGAATTTTCTTAACGGAGCTTTCAAAATATGATTAAGTCATTTTTATATTTATTTTTTTTATTTATAAAGATTTAAAATACTATTTTTTATTTACTAATAAACTGTATACGGTATTGTAAAAATTAAAATAAAATTTAATTACGTATTTTCAAACTTACTTATTCATATAAGTTATATATATATATATATATATATATATATATATATATATATATATATATATATGGTGACCCTGACGTGCGCATTACATTTTTCATAACCCGACGAATGAACAACAATTGATAATACCGACGGACCTGCTACATTTTTGGTGACCCGAAGTTCAAACAATATAAAAGCACTTTTGAAAACCAACTAAAATTAAAACGCCGGAATTTCTTATTTTTCAAGCATGGCTGAAACTTACACTGAGGCGGCGCTATCTATCAACCTCCCAACATACAACAAAACTAACGTGCAAGTGTGGTTCGCCCAATTGAATGCTATTTTTAATGCCAAAAAGATAACATCTCAAAATTCTCGATTCGCCCTTTTAGTCGGGAAGCTTCCCGCTGATGTAGCAATTGAAGTTTCGGACCTACTCAGTGAAATACTCGCCGATAAGCCTTACGATGTACTAAAAGAGGCTATTATCCACGCACAGGCGAATCAGAGGAGAGACGACTGCACGATCTATTCAATAACTTACATCTAGGACAAAATTTGCCTTCCCAACTGTAATATCCCAGCAACAGAAGGGAGATAACCCCTAGAGACACAAGAGTTAGGTCCCCTCCGGACATCCGGAATCTTAATCAGCAGCTTGGCAGCAAAAGGGGAATAGGAGGCCACCATGACTCGAGGGACAATCAACAACCATCCTAACATCCTATCAACGCATTAATCGATGCCTAGCAAGCATCGATAGCCTCTTGCGCAGAACATTACATTGGCGACGAGGACTGAGTCGTTACCCTCACAAAAACAGAACATCAACACACTTAAAAAAAAAAAAAATTCAACACGTGTTGATATATAACCAATATGGCCGCCGTACCACACTACCCCGAATTTGATTGTGAGTCAACAGCCAAAGCAGCAAGATGGACAAAATACGCAAAAAAAATGAAAAACTATTTTGTCGCACATAACATTGAGGATGACAAACGGCAAAAAGCAATCTTACTAACGTTTGTCGGCGAGGCTGCGAATGACATCATCAACGAAATACCACAGGAGCGAGTCACACCGGAAAAAAATGAAACACATTTCGACAAGTTTGTCTCAGCGGTGCACAACCACTTCAACCCTGAAAACGACACGGAATACAACCGATTCGTGTTCCGAAAAATTAAACAAAATAGCCCAGGCATCGAAGACTTCTACCGTAAACTAAAGGAAGCTGCGGCTATGTGCCGTTTTTCCGACATGGATTCCGAGGTGAAGTCCCAATTAATTACAGGCTGCCTGTCGGAAAAGTCCACCAGAAGGGACTCATGAACTCAGATATGTCACTACATGACTTAATAAACTACGCAAGGACAACGGAGACGATAGCGTCGCACCTACAAACAATGCGACTGGAAGACAACAACACTGCTACTGCTACAACCGCCCCAATAAACAAAGTCGCAGACGAACAGCGCCAACCAAGCAACTATCCCCGGCAATACCAGTGCAGGAATTGCAACGAAAAATACCCTCATGAGCGGGGACCGACGTCTTGCCCTGCATTTCATACCCAGTGCACATACTGCGGAAGGTGGGGACACTTCACCTCTGTCTGTTTCAGAAGATTAAACGACGGAAACAGACAATGGGAAACAAATCGTCCCCCACGAACACAGACCAATCGACGCTCAGTGAACCGCATTGAAAACGACCAACGGAACCCACATAGCAGTGGTAGTGATACAGAATACGTGTTCCACACAGCTGGAGCTCGGAACTTGCCACCTCCAATTGAAATGGATACTCCAGCAAACAGGAGTTCATCTTTATTTTTGGGGCTTCCCAACCAAATAAAAAGGTAACTTGATGAACAATCACAAACTCTCCACAAAATCAATTCCACGGTCCAGAAACTTGAAGCTGAAAACGCTCTTTATAAACAAGAATTGATGACCGCCCACACCAATATTCACCAGTTATCATCTCTTTTGGATAACGAACAACGAAAGTCCCATTTGTCTTTGAAGAGACACTTCATCCAAATGCAAGAAATGCTGTGCACAGAAATGAAGAGAATGTCACATGAAATAAATGAATTGAAGCTTAAATGTTGTCAACAGAATTTTCCTGTCACTCCTTCATCAACTTATCCGCAAACTGCTAGAAGCAGTTTCCAACAAAGCAAGAGATTGTCACAAAATGCAACATATTTGCGTCCCTAAAATGATGTTTATGAAGACGCTCTCAAGTTTTATAAAAAAGTTAAGAAACGTCCAACAACAGTTGCTTCAACAGATTTTCAAAATTCATTGTACTCCTCTTCAAATGTCCAACAGATGTCAACAAAATGTAAGTCGGCACCTTGTCCACAACCGTCTGTGCCAGAGCCACAAGTCATGTCTCCCCTCAACTCCATTTAGAAAATGCTACACTTTAGACAGTCACGCAAGAAAATTCATAACAAAACCTCTAGAACTGATGCCAGCCGTTCGAAAATGTCCAACACTTCATCTGACCAAGACCTTGATTCTTCTCCAAACCAGACCATAACTATTTTTTCCACTCAGAATCTCACATTGCAGGGTGATGAAGAAGATCTTCATTCCGACGATTACAATTTTGATTTGCTTGATTCTCGCAGCTTTGGAAAGTCCGAAGATGGCTTGGAAAGTAGCTCATCCGAAGATTTGGCTGTGGCCGGACCAAAAAAAAAAGCCTCTCAAAAAAAAAAAAAAGGAAAAAAAAGAAAGAAAGCATTGTAATATCCCAGCAACAGAAGGGAGATAACCCCTAGAGATACAAGAGTTAGGTCCCCTCCGGACATCCGGAAGCTTAATAAGCAGCTTGGCAGCAAAAGGGGAATAGGAGGCCACCATGACTCGAGGGACAATCAACAACCATCCTAACATCCTATCAACGCATTAATCGATGCCTAGCAAGCATCGATAGCCTCTTGCGCAGAACATTACACCAACTATTAAGGAAAATGAGAGCATTGCTGGGAGGGAACACGATGTCCGATACTATTTTGCGCAAACTATGGATGGACAAATTACATGCGCAGACCACCGAAATTCTAGCTTCGCTACCAGACGACATCGAGCTCCAGAAGCTAGCAGAAATAGCTGACAAGATCGTCGACAATCAACCACCATCTACTATTTTTAATACTAAATCGTCACTTAGCGTAGCATCTATCAATCAGTCGGATGAAGTACAAAACTTGAAAAAAGAAATATCGGAGCTCACATCACAATTACAAGGGCTAAAGAAAGCCGTATTTTATAGTGACCGTTCCAGACATTCGTCGCGCCAAAACGGTTATAAACGCAGATCGAACTCGGCACCCAGACATAGGCAACAGCCGCAACACTATATGATACTTGCTGGTATCACTACAAATTTGGTGAACAGGCGCGATACTGTATTCGACTGTGCAAGCACAGTGCAAACCTTATAAACAACTGTCCCAAACGACAGGCGGGAAACGACCATCCCGGCAGCACGTGAGGACGGCGTCCGCTGCTGGGGAAACTATGCAAAACCGTCTATTCTACATTAATGATAAAAATTCTGGATACCTTTTCCTGATTGACACCGGAGCCCAAGTCAGTGTCATATCACCCAAGTCAGTGTCATATCACCCAAGCCAGGCATGACAGCCAAACAAGCTAACTTTAACTTACAAGCCGCGAATGGATCTCGCATCGAAACTTTCGGTGAAACTTCACTAACATTGGATCTTGGCTTGCGTAGATAGTTCTCTTGGCTTTTTACTGTTGCACAGGTTAATACGCCTATTCTAGGGGCAGACTTCTTGTCCCATTTCCACTTAAGTGTTGACATGGCATCTCGATCTCTCATAGATCTAACTACAGAATTTTCAGTTAGAGGAATAACGTCTAGACTCACGTCTACAGGCATTAGTACAGCCTTGCCTGCCGCTAATGGCTTACACAATCTACTTCAGAAGTATCCAGAAATTACAACACCCTTTACATACACAGAGCCAATTAAACACATCGCAGAACATAAAATTCAGACGACTGGATCTCCGGTATTTTCAAAGCCACGCCGACTACATCCAGAAAAATACAACCTGGCGAAAGCTGAATTTCAGCATATGTTGAATTTAGGGATTATTCGCCCTTCATCCAGCCCATACGCGTCCCTGTTGCACATGGTGCCTAAAAATCAAGCGGGAACTTGGAGACCGTGTGGAGATTTTAGGAGACTTAATTCTCAAACTGTCCCGGATAAATATCCTGTGCCCCATCTGCAAGACTTCGCTGTTATATTGGAAGGCGCGAAAATCTTCACAAAGTTAGACTTGAGAAAAGCCTTTTATCAGATTCCAGTAGCTAAGGAGGACATTCACAAAACGGCTATCACTACACCGTTCGGGTTGTTCGAATTTGCCAGAATGCCCTTCGGATTAAGAAATACGGCACAGTCCTTTCAACGCCTCATTGATGAAGTTTTACGTGGACTAAATTTTACCTTCGCCTACATAGACGATGTTTTGATCGCTAGCAAAAACGCAGCGGAACACGAGAATCACGTAGAACAGGTTTTCCAGCGTTTAAAGTACTTTGGACTGAAAATCAATTCTGAAAAGTGTGTATTTGCAGTTTCTAAACTTACATTTCTCGGTCATGAAGTTGACGAGAACGGAATAACACCAATCCCTGAAAAAATTAATGCAATTAAAAATTTTCCGCAACCAACAACTCTCCGTCAGTTACGCCGATTTCTTGGCTTGATCAATTATTATAGACAATTTATTCCAAAATGTTCTCAAATTCTAATTCCCTTGACGAATTTATTGCGGAGCCAACAAAAAAAGAATGTAAAAATTACCTTGAGAGCATTTACAAACGCAAAGGAAGCTCTTGTGAATTTTACTAAATTATCATACATCTCTAGCGACGAAAAAGCTGTATTAACTCTGACTACAGACGCTTCAGCAGACTCTATAGGAGCTGTTCTACATCAAGAATATGGTGATTTTAAAAGACCACTTTCCTTCTTTTCAATTCCGCGCAACGGAAATACAGTACTTTCTCCCGCGAATTACTCGCGATCTATTTATCTATTCGTCATTTCCCACACCTGTTGGAAGGTCGGGATTTCATAGTCTCTATACTGACCACAAGCCGTTAACTTACTAGAACTGACAAAAACAACCCACGAGATATAAGGCAGCTAGATTACATATCTCAATATACGTCTGATATCCGTTACATTCACGGACATGATAATACTGTTGCCGACACTTTATCTAGATCAACAATTAACACTATTCGTTCACAATCATTGGACTTGGAGTGTTTAGCCAGGGAACAAAAGAACGATGTAACGATTGAAAAAATAAAGCAGGACACGTCACTACGAATTGAGCAACGGCCTCTTTCAGCGCAACACATTTGTATTGTGATGTCAGTACCGGTCGTGCACGACCCTACGTCCCACCTTCAATGCGCAAACAAATATTTGAACATTTTCACTCCTTTTCTCATCCTGGACGCAAAGATACTACAAAACTGATAGCGGAACGATTCGTATGGCCTAATATGTCCGCTAACATTAAACACTGGACACAATATTGTACTAGGTGCCAGAAAACTAAAGTCCAGCGGCACACCAAATCACCCCCAGGACATTTTGCAGCACCAGATGGTCGTTTTAAACACATACACGTCGACTTAGTCGGTCCTCTAACAGAAGTCGATGGTTGTCAGTATCTGCTGACCATTATTGATCGTTTTATACGTTGGCCAGTGGTTGTCCCACTTAAATCGATCACCGCAGATGTAATATCTCAAGCAATTCTACGTGAATGGATTTCGATATTTGGTTGCCCTTCTGTCATCACCACTGACCGAGGCACTCAGTTTCAATCTGTTCTTTTTTCAGAATTCACAAACTTGCTCGGTGACAAACATGTGTTGACTACTGCCTATCACCCATGTGCCAACGGATTAGTCGAACGTTTTCATAGGCAGCTTAAGTCCGCACTTACAGCTAATGGAGACTCTAAAACATGGATTGAAAGATTACCACTGGTAATGCTTTCACTCCGTAACGTTGTAAAGGAGGATTTACACTGTACCTCAGTAGAACTAGTTTTCGGGAGTTCACTTACACTCCCTGGCCAATTTATTGAGAAAGATATACCGACTCGACCAACAACATATTTTATCAAGGACTTAAAGCAACGAATTTCCGATCTTTCGTTTACTCCTTATTCGCACACAAGACAAGGAGATTTTTATACCAAAAACTTTAGAAAGTTGCGATTACATATTTGTGCGCAGAGACGCGGTAAAAAAAAACACTTACGCCGACATATTCTGGCCCATACAAAGTAGTCTCCCGTTGCCCAAAATATTTCACAGTTCTTGTCAATAGCAGAGAAACTACAATTAGTATTGACAGACTCAAACCAGCATACGTACAGAGTGATGACGTCATTCAAACACCACCAAAATCTACTACGCAACCAAACTACTAAGGACATTTCTCCATCAACCCAGTCTACCCGCACGAAGTCGGGCAGACATGTTCATTGGCCAGCTAGGTTTCACACATATATTACATATTAATGGCCATGTAAATGGGCATTAATCTGGGGGTGGGGTATTATAGACTCGTCTTGTTCCTATCTACCACCCCTGGTAACAGAACAGTCTATATCTTACGCCTACGTACAATAAACTTCGACCAATTAAAACTGTATTAGGCGAATAAAGAAATTTCATTGGATAACGACAATGATCTAAAAGTTTCACGCGCAGAAATCGAAATTGCGCCAAAACCTCTTTGAGCCAACTTTGGACCTTCGAAACATATATAAAGGTAA